TTCGTCTGTCAATCATTGGTTGGTCGATAATCCCATCGATGATTAATTGTACGATACTAGTGATTGTTGTCAATGTTTTCTGTTGCCAGGATTCATATGTTAATTTTTGCGCTTCTTCGGGCTGTGAGTTTGTTTCTCTCTCTATGAGATTTAATAAGTGTGTGTGTGTTTATTATTATATTTATAGCCGCTTTCTTTATTCTTTGTCCTCTCTTTCTTTCTTCTGTAGGAAGTTCTACCCAGACCAGAGTCAGGAATTCCAACGCTTCGTGTAAGTTAAGATACGTTTGTGTCCTAACGAATGAGGGCAATTCGACGAGTAATGCCCGTGTGCGATGATGCTAAGGTCGATATGTGTGAACAACGTCGTGGACAACAGCGGTTCTGGCACCCCGCACCAGCCTACTCAATGGGGGGGAGGGGGGGGGGGGGGGCAGTGATAGAAAACTAGAGGCGATAATACATATGAATTGTGAGAATTGTTTGCCCCGTTCGTTGTTCAGTGTTTAGTTGATTGTTTACATTCACATAGTAAAAACAAACAAGCAGATGATTTACGACCCAGCTGGCCCAATCAGCCTTATGCATTGGCACATAAGCAGACACCGTCCTTCTGTTTCTTTATGCGTAACAGGTAGAAATTCTAGTGAAACAATCTTCGTTCTCCAGTATGGAATGGAGCAGCATTTGAGCAAAAATCGCCGTAGGATAGAACAACTAATTCCCGTTAGTGGATATGGGTGTGACTGTGTGTCCGCGTGTAAGAGAAATGACGTGAATAGAGGAAATAGACAAATGAAATGTATCTAGTTATCATTTCGTTTGTAGAGATTGAGTGGATATCTGCAAATAGAATAGAAGAATCGATCTATTTATTTTATGGCATCCTATATTAGGAATGCATATAGGATATCAGCGCACCGTTAAGAAATGGAGTAGCAGTAACTTACAGAATCAGAATCACATGCGGGGTATGATGCAAGGTATCTAGGTAGGGAATTTAAATTGCTTCACCTAGCTGATGAGGATTCAAGGATGACAGCGCGAGACGGTGAAGCCATTATTCTACTACACAATTGCTGTATGTATTAACAGCTAGTTTTTTTAAGTTACTTCAGACCAACTAAGAATGAGAATATTGTATCAACGATAATAGGAATAGCAAACGGGCGAAAATGGCGGAGCGGAAACGGGCGAAGGGGAAATAAGAGGACAGAAAATAAATTACGAGCAGCACACAGTACGGGCCACGCAGAATTTTACAATATTTTCCACCACCTGACCAGGTAGTTCAAAGCAGCATCTAGATTGAATTTTGCTGAGGTCTTCTTACTGATATCTTTGTAAACTCCAGCACCTTAAACTTTTTCTCTTTTTTCCCAGTTATAATGACCATATGAGTTATTACCACATCCGATGCTACGTCTTCTTCGGTGTAGTTACTTTTTTTAGCGACCGAAATTAATAATTATTTCTTATTATTATAACAGTAGTAATCTGATATCAGCTACCTATCTTACCTTGCGCAAGTGTCTAGCGCGCCATAGGCCACACAACACAAAAATGGTCGATTGAGTCCAAACATTTGTAAGAGATAAAGTAACTTAAGAGGTTCTATCAACGGCGTCTTTTTCTTAGGCAAATGTTACTCAGCAGCTTTGGAATCGTGTTCTCCCTATCGGCACGTTTCACGAGGTGCCGATAGACCCGAACTGCCCTAACTGTCATCATTGAACACCTTTTGAATAGACACGCATGGCAAGCAATCCGAAGCTTCATGAGAAAACAGACTTTGAATTGAAAGCACTTTAGATCATATATAGATCCATCAGCACATTGTAATAGGTGCGACATTGCATATTACTGGAGAATATATCCTGCGGGGTTTGTATGCTTCAAAGTCGCTTCTTCTATAGTTACGATCGTTATCATCATCTGTTGATGCCCAATAAAAGGCAATATATGTTGTAGCCTTTGAAAGAACCTTTGAGTGTGATAATGAAACTTACTTAGTGATGTACACTTTTATTATATTGCAAACAGATGCATTCTAACAACATTTTTTACCTTGTTTTTTTTTTATAATTCCCATAATATTTTTTCGGGCAACTTCACCTTCATAAAATGGCCTAATAACGTAAATCATAGTTAACGAGATTGATAGAATTAGTTCATTGTTTGAATTTAACCACAAATAATCATACTGCGCGATCATACTGTGTCCTATAGGTGATGCGAAGGCGTCTATATTTCACTAAAAGCTGCTGATGTTGCTTTTATCTACAGATGTTTCTGTTTGTCGGTGTTAGTCCGATGTCATTGAGGCCACTGGAGCCCAAAATGGTGGTGAAACGTTTATTCGCGGAACCATGCAAACCCAAAACGAAACTAAGACCCGCCCCGCCAACTCGCTCGTTCGATCTGCGAAACTGCCGCAGCAGCGTTTGTCTGACAGGCCTACACCGAATGGCTTGCCGTAGCAAAAAGGCGTATGGATGGCCGTCGAATGCCCAATGGAGTCACTCCTCGCAGACCATGGGCGGGAAAAACTCAGCAATAGGGAAGAACGGGGAAAAAGGGGGTGCAGTGTGGGGTTCGAGACGACTATGTTTCCTCCATTTGTCATGATGGGCCTCTGGGGTAGAAAAGGAGCAAAAAGGATATCTACCCTCGGTCGTGCCTCATTTGTGTGGTGGTACCAGTGAGGTCCGACAGCCTCTCAGCTCTGGCCGAATAGCCAGGCACTCAGTCGTCCATCGTACCACCCGTAGACCAGCGGCCGTCGTCCTTTTTCTTGACCGAGCAGGGTTGTTTTTCCTATCGTCTCTAGGCCCGCCACCATCGCTACCGCTGATAATGCTACCGGAGTAAGAAAGAAGAGAAAAGGTTGGTTGGTAACGATACACCTCCTTGGCAGAAAGAACGCTATGAGGAAAGTAGGAAGCCCCCCCCCCCCCCCCCCATAAAAAAGATTAAGCTAGGTGAGCCTGGCGAATTTTTGTTGAGCGAAACATTTAGTTAAGGGCAATGGTTCTGGAATTCGGGGAAAAGACGTGGCAGGTTTAACAGTACAGCAGATGGCGGTAAAAGTAAATGGCTGAATTTAGATAGCACATTCAAATGAGCAGCCTGAGGTTGTGAACCTTCTAGATTTTTTATCGGGGTTTACTGTACGCAATGATTCGATAACTCAAAGGATCTCGATTCGATTACGCATTGCTAATTGACCTTATCATTATTCCGTATAGTCATAGTTCTTGGTATTGCATAACGGTTTGACTAACCGTGATTTGATACCAGTAGGCAGGTTTACTAGGGTATAGGTGTTAATCAAATGAAATAGAGGTGGAATTGTCCTCTATTTTGTCCATACTGGTTATGTACCAAAAATCAGAAGGTGGACTATAGTGTCTCTAACGAATCTAAAATATTTGTATTTATGATTAGGTTGCGCATACCTTTTCCTTCCATGAGAAACGTAGGACACAGCTGATCAAGATTGCTTTCTAGATCTAACGTGAATATTGCTCGAGCATCACGGACTCAAATTTTATCTTGAGGGTAGTGATTTGTTCATTTTAGAACTATACAATAACAAAAAAACGTAGCCTGGAAGGACAAACAGAAGGCTCGCGTACAAAAATGCACCGACTGTATAGCAGCGCCATGCAATAAACCGTAGGAAAGAGAAGGTGTTAACGGTGGAACTCTATAATACATGCGCGATTGAACAGTTCAGTAAGCCGTGCTTGCACAGTCACTACCAGATAGTTGTGGCCGCTGGGAGGAGTGATTCCAGTCGTCGCCTGCTTGGTCCGTCTATCGACGAGTGTTCTGGCGATTGCTATAGACGAACGCTAGAAAGCCGAAGTGAGTGCTCTCTACGCGACATACGCCCCCTGTAACGAGCCAGCGAAGCGAATTTTGCCCGAAATGACCGAGCTCTATAGCGAATATCGGTCTGTCTGGATAAATTTGTTTCTCCTACTACTGCGGGCAGTGCACAACGTTCGAGAGCAGATTTCTTTTGCCTATGAGTATAGTTCGCTAGTAAACAGCAAAGCAAGCAAAGGAAAGGGGAGTCTTTCGCGTTCACCGCTCCGCCCTCATTTTCACTGGATGCGTTACAACTTTGAGAATTTTGTTTCTGGTCAAACAAACAGACCAGATGTCTCTTGAAACGCGCAACAGGTCGGATAAATCAGTGGATATCTTGTTATCGTGACTTCTGCTGATAGTGACTGATTTTTTTAGGTTGCTTAGACAGAGCTGCAAGATTAGCGGGCTCGTGGCACTGATTGCTAATTATACTACTCATATTGTCTCGTATATTTCTACCACGTGCGCAGGCTAACACTAACCCAACAGATACTGCAGTGGTGGTAGTTTTGCCCTATATGGCGTTAGGTGTTGCTGTGAGCATCGGCTACAAGAAAAACGAGCGACAAACGTGCGTAAAGGTAGAATTGTACTGTATTGTAGTGACATACGTGTTAAACGGTATACGCGCACACCCGCCCATAAACATGTGTGCCAGTGGGCTCTAATAACTAGTATAATAACCGAAGGCTAGTAAAATGGCTTGTAATCGTGTAGATGTCATTATTTTTCGATTGTCTGCCTTCATAATAATAGTACCTGGCGTGTAGCTGTTCTCGGTCAGCAGAAGTTCGTAGTCTTAACGGCCCAAAAGAAATTATCGGCGCTCACGACTACAGGGAGTTACAAGACAGGGAGGGGAGAAAGAGAAGGATGAATTGCCTGGAAACAGCAACACCAGCAATAGCTGCGTTAACAAATTTAAAGCATGACACCACAAGCGACCATCCGTTCTCCGTTCCTGCGTTTAAGGAATTTGTTCTTTCTTCCTCTTACTTGACGCATGCCCACTCAACCTCTTCGTCAAAATCTACCTCACGACAACTGCCGCTACTTAATCGGATGACGTCACTGGCCGCTCTTCACGCTTCGCAATGGTCGTCGTCGCTTCCACGAAACAGGCAGGACGGGCCTTCGCAGCCCCAAGTACAACACACCTATACATATGAGAGCTCACAGGCGACAATTGCGTCAAACGGTGGCGGGGCCGCTGGTGCTGCCGGACCAGGTACCGGCGGCACCCAACTGGAGGACAGTAAACACCTGCCGGCCGCTAATCTCGTCGGAATCGAAAAACAACTCGTTAGCCGAACGCAACAGGAGGTCAAAACGCAACAGGTACATGCTGCCCAACCCAATTTGCTTTTTGGCCGTTAGGTTTATTGCCAACTGCCCTGCTTGTCTTCTACTAGCAATTACCCGCTTTAGCACGCTTGGGCGAAAGAACAGGGCCGGATAGGTCATACAAAGGCAATATCGGCGATAATAGGCCCTTGTATCTCAAAATGCGCGAAGTAGACGAGCGAGCAAGTAAAAGCTCATGTTGCACGATCAACTGGCCTGCCCTGAGATCTCGTCCAAATATGATCATGTACGCTTGACCCCAGCCGGCCATGAGCTCGTTGGCTGCATACGTTTTACAAGATTTTGTCTTGGCGGATGCTATTATTGGCTTATTTGATTCGTTCGTTGGCTGAGTTAGTTTGATTGTCGAAAATTACGTAATGGTAACGCCATGTGGCACTTGTCAATGCATTTAAGCGGCGGTGGTGATATACTTCGCTTATTTGCGCCCCTTATCTTTCTATATTGAGTTAGTTCTGTTATGTGGGTTTCGTTGACGAAACATTACCTCCTATCATTTTTGTTCTTGTTACGGTCGTTCTAGAATAATATCGAAAGGATCTTTAAAGTGTTTTCGTTAATTTACAAGCAAGTATTTTTGTTGCCAATGATTGGCTAGTGTATTGTTTTTTTTTTTTTGTAAAGTTTTGGATGTAAAGCTTAGATTAAAATGCGTGAAAATAGTTGAACGAATATAATTACTCGATTTTATGGGTCCAATTTATACGAGAGTATATTCGTAAACATTATTCTTAATTCAGGTTGCTACGCTCTCTAAATTATATGCATGGCCTTGATCATAGACACCATTGCTCCAAAAAAAACGTACGTTATTTGTTTTCACAGTTTCGCAGGCGTCCCGTAAATCGGTCTCTACTAGTAGCTAACAGAGGACAATGGTAACAACATTTTGTCCCGAAGAAACACAAGCACTAATCGACGATACATAACACCTGATTTTCGAATGTCGCGATTCTAATGGAAAAAACAAGTATTATGTCTTATATCTTGTAAATTGCGGCTGTAAATAACATCGTTCATGCATCATCAAGTGGCTAGTTCTACTTTATTTGATATTGGACAGAAGAGAACTTTAGCCAAACTTAAATATGAAATGGCCGCGCGCAATGCATTGTGTTGTAGTACTCTTTTGGGCATGAATGAACCTATTGACTGCGACAAAAGGGCTGACGGAAGAACACATATGTATGTTAGCCAAATGTTGATCATTGCCAAGAAATGTTAAAAAAAAGTATTCCACTTAATTCTTCTCATCCTTGCCGAATATAAGTTAGCGTTTTGAAGATTTAAAAGCTATTGAAATGATTATGCAATATACCTCTCAAACAGAACGGACAAAATCAGTGGTTACACTACACAGCTCCATATTAAGTTTTTGTTTATTTTCTTTTCTATATAAATTCAAGTAACGCATATCGCAGTTACTGGGTCCTATATTGACCCACATTATGTTATGGATATATATGTTTAAATTTTGGCATGCATTATTGCTGCTAGGAGTTTTAGCATCTTTCTTTCCGGATCGCAGTTCTGCTAATTTTTATTGTTTCTTTGTGGGAGCTTTTTTTCGGATATCGTTTTATTGGTTATTTTTTCTACTCGTTGATACATCAGCATTGTCGGCCTGTTATCAGAGCGACTGCACAAATATATTTTCCGGGAATGATTTTCCTGTATTTATATTCATTACATATGTGTGCCGAAACAAAGATAGTAAAGTCCAGCAACTGTTTTTCTATATCGTTACTATTATTTAGCTTGAATGGCATTGCCACCATTTCTGGGTTATAAAATCTTTTGTACAAATGAACACTAACCCAATCTCTATTTAGTTCTGTGTGCATGCATTGTGTTTGCCTATGTGAACGTTTTTATGGTAACCTTAATTCATGCACAGATTGAATATATCTGTGATAATTTCTCATATGGGTAATAATACATTGTACAGCCTACTTCGCGCTTCGGCCATGTGTATTTATGTTAATGTGCCACATTCCTACTAACCGCTACGGATACGAGTCGGAATGATCAAAGAAAAACCTTTTTTTTATTCTTCATTGCTCCGGAGCGGCTGGGTTCTCTTCTCAGTTGCTCAGAGAGGTTGGTCATCGACCATCTAATGCTCGGGCCATCATATCACCAAATCAGACGCGAATCCAGTACGAATTCCTCGGCTATTGCCATTCCCTTATCCAACCTCAGTGTGAGGCACTTGTATGCATCCCGAGAATTTTCGTTCCAAACGGTTTACGCGACCCCCGTCTCCCTTTATTCTTTTGCTCTGATACTGTCGGGTAAAACCGTTTCCTTTTATCAGCGAGGTACCCCATCTATGAAGTGGATAAAAAAATGTTGATTATGTGTAGTGTAGCTTTGCGGTCCAGATGCTGCAACCGATGGATGAAACAATAAAAATTGAACCTGAGCATGCTAATTATAACGATGACTAGCCAGCCATACCTAAGTAAGCTTTTGCTAAATTTCTCAGCTCTCTAATGTGTCGTCATGCATGATGAATATTATGTTATATTCGATAATAATGTAAATAATAATTATAATATCATCACACAGCGTGTCGTGTCTATTTCTGTAACCGATGTTATAAGAGCGCTTGGTGGACTGAACGAACCTAATGGAGGTTCCATGGCAATGCGCACTTCACAGTAACTGTCAGCTAGCGTGGTACTACTTTTTTTGATAGTTGTGAATAAGTTATTTTAAAAATCGTCCTACCTGATAAAGTGACTCATATCATGATGCTTAAAGGACGGACATTCAAATTGGTTTTTGAATGAGCCGATTATCGTGACAATTGAGCTTGGGTTGGGCATGCTTTTCCGTGCTTCCGCCTTGTCCCGCTGTCTCCAATGTTTCTCCCTCATAACTTTCTGTGCTAACTGCTATATACTGATTCGATTCGTAACCCACCGAATGCCAAAGGTGAAAACGGTAACAAAGTTGGTCAAAACTCGTGAGGTTCGTCACATCGGACCGGATGGTCAACCGGTAGATCTGGACTTCGCAGCTGGCCCACCTTCGGACTTCATTCAATACCCGCCCCATCCGGGACACCCAGTACATCCAGGCCATCCGGGCTTTCTTCAAGAGGGCGCAGACGGCTCCATGAGCTACTTCGAAGGACAGCCGCCTTCGCCGGCGAACTATGACGCTTATTACAGTAGACCGCCGCCTCCCGCGGGACCGGCTGGCGCCTACCCGGCAAGCGCCAACTTCCAGGTACACAAACCTAAAAGCGCAAGCACGAACGAAGCAGGAGAGCGGTTCGTTGTTTTTGGCAAAGGAAGAGGATGATGTCCATCTTAGTTACTTGTTAAGGTGACACAGTATTCTTAACCTCCTGCGAAAATTCGTTTTAAACAGTCGATCTTCTGCGCTTCTGTCAGAGCTGAAAAACCATTGCTTTATTCGTATTTGAGACCACGTGTCAACATAATATTTAAAAAAAAGCTGATTCCCATCCTAGCCCAGCGATTCTTGAAGTGATTTTTATTCCCTTTTTTAACACCCCACAAATATCCTCACCGAAACTATGTGTACAGTTATTCATTTGTTAGTCATCCTGATTCCACTGTTGCGGTTTCTGTGTTCCATCGTGTCTATTTTAATGCTTCTATTTGCGGGGTGACCCTGGGCCGTTTGTTCTTCTTGATCCATTTGTTGGCCATGCGCCACCAACGTTGCCCGTTATTATCTCGTATATCCGTTCCGCAGGAGTACGAGTATTACCCCTCGGTGGGTGGCCGGCAATCACCTACCTCAGTCATCTCGGAATCCCCGCCTCATTCGCACGGAGGTGCGGGAATGTTTCCCCCAGGAGGTCCTCCGACGTCCGGCTACGATGAACTCGACTCGACTCTCGTTACGCCACAACAGAGGTAGGAAGTCATGATGAGTTGGTTTGGCACTGCCACGACCAAGTAAACAATGATGGTCCTGAAAAGCATTGACAATAATTCGTGTGGACGTGTTTGTGTGTTTGAATTGATTTGTAGCTAAAACAGAGCATAAAACAGTAATATGAAGATCATCGAATTTTAGGTGACGATTTACTTACAATTGAAAAAAATAAGAAATTATTTATTCTTTAGTTTAAAAGTTATTTAGATGGTATACAAATTAGCGGTTGGGAAACTTACACGTATGCATGCAGCTAACACATGTGACTAACATACATAGAGTAGTAATTCTGTACCCAACAAGTGCAATTTAACATTAAGCAAAAGAATAGGATTATCAGGAAATGTATATTTAGAAATTTACATAAATAAAACCTTTTTCCTAGATTGCATTGCAACCATTAATTAATGTGAGCAGATTAGCTATAACCAGCTTTGTTTTTCGTTTTCTTTCCATGCTCTTTCCTTCGTTACGTTGCACTCGGCCAAAAAGGGCCTCGTACTATCAGCAAGGTTACCCAGGCGGCTACTTAGATCAACGAAATTCTTACGATCCGTACGGCCAAGCACCGTTCGATGGACAGCCACCACCTCCCCCTGCAGCACCTCAGGCGGGCGAGAGCGGTGGCGGTGGAGTTCGTTTCCGAGATCCCGATCTTCACGAGGTCATCGAGTTCCTCAGCCATCCAAACAACGTGGTGCGGTCAAATGCCGCCGCCTATCTCCAGCATCTTTGTTATATGGACGACAATATGAAGCAGAAAACACGTGCACTCGGCGGGATTTCACCTTTGATCGAGCTTCTTGCCCAACCGTTCCCTGATATCCAACGCAACGCGTGCGGAGCTCTGCGCAATCTGTCGTACGGTCGGCGTAACGATGAGAACAAGAGGGCAATTCGAAACGCCGGTGGAGTTCCAGCGCTCGTCCATCTATTGCAGTCGTCACCCGACAACGACATACGAGAACTGGTTACGTGTGTCCTCTGGAATCTCAGCTCATGCGACGAATTGAAGCGGCCAATTATCGATGATGCCCTCCGGCCGCTTGTACAAGGCGTACTCATTCCGCTCTCTGGCTGGGACCGGGCGTCCCTGTCACATAACGGCGGGGCCGGAGGCGATAGCAAGCCCGCACAAGAAATCTATTGGACAGCCGTGTTCCGTAACGCATCCGGTGTACTACGTAATGTCAGCTCGGCTGGCGAGTTCGCGCGCCGACGGCTCCGTGAATGCGAAGGTCTACCTGAAGCACTATTGCATCTCGTACGAACGGCGGTACGGAAAAACGACATGGATAATAAAAGCGTCGAAAACTGCGTTTGCATACTCAGAAATCTTTCATACAGGTTTGTAGTCATGCCTCGTTTATCTCGACCTGTTACAACAAATATTACGTTGTTTTAATCATAGATTATTGGCTGGGTCATTTTTCATTTGTGCTGTGTATGCAAAGGCTAAAATCCCTGTAATGAGGTAAAAACGGAAGCGGCCACAAGATACAGCATTACAATAGAGAGTCTTAGGGGTCACTCCTTCATGCAAACGTAAACCAACTTCAAATATAAAATAACGTGTGGTTACACAGTTGCAAACAAACATATTAAATATAATTGGCCCTAGTTAGATTTACGACATCGCTCTAACCTCAGGTTTGGTTCTTCTCGCGTTAACTTGTGGACTGGTGATACAATTAAATTTTCGTCACGACCAGGTGCCAAGAAGTACAGGATCCAGAATACGACAAAGCGCCACCACCACAGCTGCAGGATGGCACAGGGACAACAGGACGTTCGGGAGCCTCTTCCGTTGCGTTCAAGGTTGGTGAAAGTCTTGGCTGCTTCGGCGCCAAGAAGAAAAAGGCTCAATCGTCATCATCTAGCGAACAGATCGCCTCTCATCCGTCATCTGCCAGTCCATCCGGTATGGAGCTCCTATGGCAGGCTGACGTAGTGCAGCCATATTTATCACTATTATCTGAATGCTCGAACCCCGAAACCCTGGAGGCAGCTGCAGGCGCTATTCAGAATCTAGCTGCTTGCTACTGGCAGCCGTCGGTTGACATTCGCGCTGCAGTGCGAAAGGATCGTGGCTTGCCAGTTCTTGTTGAGCTCCTCCGAATGGAGGTTGATCGAGTCGTTTGCGCGGTTGCCACTGCGCTCAGAAATCTCGCCATGGATCAGAGGAACAAAGAGCTAATTGGTAAATCTAGGATTTTTCAAACATACATTTTTCATCTACATATGTAATACCTCAGGACAAACAGGCGCTAACCGAACACAAATATAATAATAGACATACGTTTGTTACACATACTTCGCATGTAAACTGTACGTTTGGTCCTTTTTGTTAGCGACTTCAGAGGATATATTTGTGCATACGAATCGTCGTTTTGTTGTACTCTAGTTGTGTTTACATCTTAAATGAACTGGTTATGAAACTGCCATAAATGTTCGACTGTGCTTTATATATGGAATCGATTTTCAAGCAAAAGCTGTCTCACCCGTTTTATTGTACATTTCTGTGTTATACGTACCCAAAAAACAACGTATCATGACTATCCATCACCAACGTATGTTCGTACAATTTTTTCAGGCAAATATGCAATGAACGATTTGGTACAAAAGCTGCCGAATGGAAATCCGCAGCACGACATGGGCACATCAGATGATACCGTAGCCGCTGTACTAGCTACGCTCAATGAAGTTATCGTTAAGAACAGCGATTTCGCGAGCTCTCTCCTTGAAGCTCATGGCGTCACCCGGTTAACTCACATCACGAAGCAGAAACAGCGCTTCTCGGGTAGAGTGGTCAAGTTTGCATCGCAACTGCTCTACAATATGTGGCAGCATGTGGAACTCCGGGAAGCGTATAAGAGTGCCGGGTGGCGGGAAAGCCACTTCCTGACTAGGAACCTCGGCGGCAACGGGGCCGCGGGGCCCTCGACTGGATTAGGTGGGGCCAACTACAGCACGCTGTCAAGACCGATTAGTTCCCAGGGTGGCACCCGTTACGAGGATCGCACATTGCCACGTGGCGCCGGTCGAGAGCTCAATCGACATCATCACAACAACAACAATTCATCGGCAGGACAAGCCGCTGGTCAAGGCAGCCAGGGGGCCTTCCGGGCTGCGCCTGGAGCCCAGGAAATGCCTTTAGCTGAAATGCATAACCTTTCGATACAAGATGGTGCACCACATCGTCAGCCGCCTGTCGGAGGTGTACCCATCTTCCCACCTGGACCCGTAAGTGTTAATATTCTATAGAACGTAACTGTCACTAGATGTTCCAATCAGAACCAATGGATAATGAAATCGAAGGTTCAACAAGCAAAAATGGCGCATATTTATTAGGTCATGGCGAACAATGTTCGTACAGTTTTGCGTCTATTAAGTACTATAGTGCGATCTGGGATATTCCTTTGGATCACTGGACCAAATATTTTTGTCAATGTTTAACTTTAAAAAACTCAGAAAAGGAAGACCTAACTAACTGAATTTCATTTCTGCTAATGACTCGCACGCTGCCTTGGATTATTCTGACCGATTTGCACGGTTGTTTTGTACTGCGTTTTACCGGGGCCGTCCTTTCAACATCGAATAACCGTCAATGACGTTACGTAATAAATACCTAAACGATAAAACAGCCCCCCGGCTTCTAACAGCTTCCCGACCTGGTCTTACACAACTAGGCTAACCCTCACGGAGGGAACGGCAACCCTGCGAATCCTTGATGCTCAATATCTTGAATAAGTAATTCAGCTAATCAACATATCCCCTCAGTGGGCAGTTCACCTGCGACCTAAGCATTCAGAAAAAGGACCGACAAAAAAACGTCACTTCACCGATCTCTACGATCAAATAAAAACAATTTACGCTAAAACTATGCCTCTATAATCGAAAAATATACAAGTAAACATCGTCGACCTCTACGAAATGGAGCTGTCAGATGTCTTCCGCTGCTTCAAAAAAATTCGACTCGTAAAGACTAAGATCGAAAGATAAATGGTGTGTCTATATTTAATAAACTGCATGTATGGATGCATTTTAGCGAGCATTATTATAACGACTGTGGTTCGTACCCGCTTTTATCACTCTGGGATTGTTAAATCTTAGTGGAGCCTGACAGAGAGCAAACGTAATATGATGAGCGAAATAGCTTCAAGGTTACAATAAAAATAATTTCTAGATTTGATAGTAAATTGTTTGCTTGTCTGCAACAATGTAGCGAAGCACGTTTAGTTATTTATTAGATGTGTTAACGTTCATTACCTTTTTTATCGTTTCGCTCTGGTATCTGTATATACGATCGTTCTTACAGCATCAGCTGGCCGAGGTGCACAAAGGGCCGATGCTAGCTAGAGAACCAGTTTATGCCCAAGTGAATCGGGAAAAAAAGCTGCGCCATCGCCCCCCCGGAGATGGTCACATGAGTCCTGTGGCGCATCTGCTGAGCCAAAGTGGACATATGAGTCCTGTGCCCGGCGGAGCTCTCAACGTCAGCCATACAACGTTACCACGGGATACGCACCCATCTACCAGCGAAAGTACGCACCAGCTTATTCCACCGGGAACACCGACGCCTAACGGGTTGCACCATCCGCACGCGATTCAACAAGTTGTTACAGCCAATGGAGGCCCATCCGTGGGAGGTGACTCTTGGGTGTAGTCAAGACACAATATTATATACGGTGGTGTATCGACGTTCAGCTATAGAGCAGCTTCAGTGACACGCTACTGCAGAAGTGATTCGGGCGCAAAACCAAGTCTCTGATTACCACTCAAACTTAATAGCACCACTGAATGGGAACGCTTGCTCCGTTTTAGTTAATCGTTAGTTAATCAGTTGTGGTCGATTATGTGAACTGCAGTAGCATGACGCAATCGAGGACAAGAGAAAAACAGCCAGAAAATGATTAAATATAAAATATGTTAAACGCGTCTGTACATTCCATCATTTTGACGGCAGGCTGCTCTTGCCCCTGATGCTAATTCATTTAACGGAATGAGTTTTTAATCAAAAATTAAATATATCCAATATGATCAAGACCATCACTGAACACACTGTTAATTAAGCTTGTTTTTCATTGAGCTCAAAATTTTATAGAGTACAACTCGTTTCACGCCGTGCAGTATCGGAACAAACGTCTGTCAAACAGTTTATTTATATGGGACTCATTATATTTATGCCCCAATTATGCCCGTCAAGTTGAAGAGCCAGATGTAATAGCTGCAGCTAAAATATAATGACACTATTTTTTAAACTGCTTTTTTTCACTTATGCCTTGTTTAAACCTGTGTATATGACGAGCTAATATTGGAAGATAAGGAGCTACCGATAATCAAAAGCGTATATATATATGTGTGTATGCATAAAGCTGGTTGGATCATGTTGTTTGGCTATGGGTCCTCACAACCTTTGCTTGAGTTACAAACATAAGTGTACTATAAATGGCAAACTAGTGGCAAATAATCATGCTTTTTTTTTTTTAGAACATTAGAAGCGGGGAAAAACGTTCTGAAAACGTTACGCACATCACATGTGGAACTGTGGCGGATGTTGGACTAATGACAAAGCTGGTGCAATTCTATCCATCCCACATGCCGACATTAATGGTACAACGAAACGCTGCCACGAGTGTATAATTGATAACAGCAGATGGACGTCTGACAGATAACCAGCTGGTTTTATAGCCACCAGACAAAACACAAAAAGCAAAGCAATTGTGTGCATGTATGTTACTTCTATAAGAAATGATTAATTAAAATTGTACACCAACACACAGAAACATATGAGAAGAAATATAATAGACGAATATTAGGTTTCTCGCCAAAGGAAAAATTTGGTATAGGCCAGACGTTAACCTTGACTTACTGATCAGAGGTCAGAGAAAAACATCACATCGAACATCGTTTCGAATGCCGAAACTTCGGCAGCGGCAGCATACAAAACGGGTGATATTTATCGAACGAATTAATAAGCGCGTGCGCTGGCCATTTTTTCGAGGGGGCGCATCCAACCTACAAATAGGAAGGCGCAGGGTTGTCGAGTTGAATCCCTTTTCGACGAAGCGGTTACCCTTAAATATTACCAATTGTTGCAGTTGTGTTTCTGTACCATACTGAGTGATGGTAGTGTGAGGCCAGGTCCGGTGGGGGGTCCCCAACCAAATATCTCTAACCTAGGACACGACAAACAGAACGAAAGACAAAATACGAATAAAACTAACTACAATTTTTGAAAGTCAACTAACAGCAACGGCAGGGATAAGGTAATCATAAGTACCAATCATGAATTCATAAAAAAGCAATGCTACTATAACATAAGAAACAATAAGAGTCAGAGAGCCGATAACTACTGGAAACAACAAGGCGGACGTAAAAGATAGTTTATAAGTATTAAGAAAACAGCAAAATATAGAACGTTAACATTAAACAGAGAAATCTTACAACAGAACAAGGAACATAATACCAACGAGATCATTATGAAAACCCAATAACGAACGGAACCGATTAACAGAGTAGGGAATATCCTGGATCCGGGACGGATTCGCAGCAGTTGCTTGCGTTCTGCCCCAAACGCTTGGCCCTGTTACCCATTCAAAAACATGTGTAGAATATATATGGAATTCTGGAGAGTACGAAGCACAATAAGAACTATGGCAACATAAACAGATCAGCATTCACAATTCAAAAGTCATTCGACTAGCAGCTATATATATACATATATATATATATATATATATGTATATGTATATAGGGGAAACAAAACCATAAACATGAGTGCAGATTACACGTACTGATGAATTCATACAATTCATAGAAAAAAATCCTTTATTCTAACTGTCCTTTCTGATGTTTTTTGACCTGATTTATTGATTATGATGCCGACTCAACGACGCCTAAGACAGAAGAATAGGTGAATCAGATCCCGTCACTTGAACCTCGCGCCGCTTTATTTGATATTTTAAAGAATAAGAACTATTATAAACGAGAGAAAAACAGATGGTGCAGGGATAATGTGAGAGAGAGGTAAAGGGTGCAAGAGTATGCGCTACGCAGACAAGTATTGCACACAATCAGAATTATTATTCTAATAGAATGGAACGTTCAGATCATTACCACTATTATTATAAAAATATGTGTGATAATCTTAGAGTCACAAAGTTCACCGAAGGAAGTCATCTTTAAATTAATCCTAACCGAATAATTATCAGCGAGTGTCCACAAGTGAGAAGAGATACTGTATTGTACTTCGATGATGGAGTGAAAATAAAACAAGTATTAATCATAATAATAACAATGAATACAAAAGTATAATCGTATAGAAAACCTCTGTCTCTTCGAATTCGTACTTGACAAGAGCATATGACTATAACCTACCTGCCTGCCTGCCTGCCCAGGTCGCATTGACCAAATCATACCATATTATCTCATAGCAAATACACTGAGGCAATATACTTGATCGTTTCAAGCAGACAGGATTAGAAACAATAGCAATCTTGGCAGGTCGGGTTAACGACTTTGCTCTTATTGAATGCGCGCGTCTGTCAGCCTGTGAGTATGTGTGTTTAGATGTGCAAGCGGCTGAGTGCAAATATCTGCGCATATTCTGTGTGTGTGTGTATGTGTGTATATATATGTATGTACATGCATTGGGTTCCTATTCTTATTGAGTGATACGTGAACGAAGTTACCCAGGCTCTCAAGGACACAACAGAATGGAGAAGAAACGCTTTCATAATTGATTCACAGTAGTACGTAACAGATGTTATCGACATATTGAACACACAAACACACACATCCAAATACAAATATACCAGCCATACCAATCATACTACTATATAGCTCAATCAATCACAGTCAAACAGCGTTGTATAGAATTGAGATTCACCCAAGATATATATATATATATATATATATATATATATAGAGAGAGAGAGAGAGAGAGAGAGAGACTTTAATGGAAAATACGCCCTATACAAGTCGATATGAATTGAACAACTAGGGAACACGCAGAGAAGTAAATACATAAATAATCAAGGACAGAAAAATATCCAGTCTGATTGAACAGGCCGGCATTTTGTGGTATGGTGTCTATCGCAAGTACGAACTCTGGAATAATAGGAACATACATGCGATGCTAGTACACACACTTAGCAGACCGATGGCAGTACGCCGGAGCTGAGAACAGAATCGATAGTAGCAATTAGATAACGGTTTCAATACCGGCTTTAACACCGTCCTCTATCGGACTTTCCTGGCCAAAACAACATCCATAAGGCACTTGGAAATAGAGAATACCTTTTTTTTTCCGTACGGTAATAAACGCTTTTCGTTGACCGAACACTTTTCGCTAATCTAAATAGGTATAAACAAACTAAAATGTCGCTAATTATGTTGATTATTTAATCGACAGACTCGCTTTGGTAGCGTTTGCCCACAGAAACATGAGTTGGCAAAGAGCGCCAGCGTTCGCTAAAACTTTTGCCTTTCAAAATACGGCATGTAGATTTCAATGATAACACATGAAAATGAAGACTTTTAAAAATAAACATACAAACTGCGACAATAGATATAATGAAGGCTATCGACGAATCGGTCATGTCGCTACAGTCCCTGCAAAAAGGACACTATGTTGCCACAAATATATATGTATTCTATATAATTATTAATCCTGTGTATGAATGATCAACCTGGCTACAAAGCTGAGGTTAGATCGAGAAGGAAGCTCGACTTCTAGAGGCGCGACAGTCAACATTTAATTTTACGCGTGTCTAAGATATATAGATATATATATATATAATAAATGTGTATGTGTAATTGTACTTAAGTATAAGTGGAATACGAATGTATGAAGTGTGCCATGGCCACTTTGATGAGTAAATGATGATTCTATCGGACATCACTACATAAAGAGAAGAATGGAATAGTAACCATTACTATCACTATTATTATAAATAATGATCAAGGTCGACTATACGAAGACGGAGAAATATGAAAGATATATGAACATAATTCCGATGACAATTATACAACTGAATTATATGAGAGAGAAGATTTACGATAAACCACAGTCCATGCGTTCCTGGCGAGGTTTGTCATTGCCTGCGGGTCGGTACGAATATTGAATTCATTCTCGTGAAAGGACGGTGGTGGACGACGAGCTCCTGGCGCAGGGACGTGCAGTTACTTTGTTTTGCAGCCCACCATTTGTATATAACGAGCCGCACATTGCTCAGCAGAGAGAGAGCGTAACGAAAAGTCATGAGTATATAGGGGTTGGTGGATGGAAAGGAACATCAAGAACAGATGGGAGAAGATCGAAGCACACGTGTACTCTACCACACATACATAAACAAAAAATACAGGTGGAACGGAAAAAAGTCGGATATATATATATATATATATATATATATATATATATATATATAGTTATTTAGATGGTAGGAAAAACTAAAAACGGAAAGCATATGTTGCACGCAGCAAGTTACAAGATCGAAGAAGCCAGCGAAGTATCGAAACAAAGGGTTACTCTACGTCTGAACGTGTAAAGCAAAACAACAAGAAAACAGTAAGTCTGGCAGAGAAATAGTCAATCGTAAGAGAGCATGTTTGGGCCTCTGGACATATGACGGGGTCTGCTGCGATTACGTGGCAAAAGTAAACAAGAAATAGATAACAAACAATAAGGCCGCCTATGGCGATGATAATAGAGATGACTTTACTATGAATACTATTAATGATAATGAATATAAAAAATGGAAAAGAAGACAAAGATGCGGATGATAAGATAGTCGGGTACGTGCGTATGTGTACAAGCGAATAGTTTCAGAGTGAACTGAATGGCGTTGTGAATCTAGCAGCAGTACTGACATAGAAAAAACGCCTGTCATTTTGAGGAGACGGCGCTGTAAATTGACGCTGCCTGGAATAGAGGACTCTGCGTAATGTGGAAATTAAATGAGATGAACAGAAAACATGAGGGTAGAAGAAATCGGCAGCACCGGTTCATTTTTCCGAAAAAACTAAAACATTAGAGATATTCACGAGCGCAATGAGAAAAGACTTGCTAACGACAGGAAGGACGCTCAAAGTAATTTATGTGTGTGTGTGATCAGAACAGGTATGATAAGCATGATTGACAGCACGAAAGGAATTAAGAAAGTTAGTGGACTGCAAATCATTAGGAAAAATTGCACGAAGGGAGAACAATGCTGCCTAGATAAGGTTGGAGAATTCGCAATTGGTTAATAGTTGGGAGCGTACACCCGTATGCGTTTATTGCCGGCTACGGGTAAATATAATGGTTTTAAAAGTAAATTCGTCAGTTAATCAAAAAGGCATCCGGCGAGTTCACAATTAATTCAGTTATAAGATAAGATAATAGTTTACAATATTAGCCTCTAGTGCCCGCTAAAATAAAATTGAGCCATTCTGAAATTTAGTTAGATAGCTTCCTAGAAGAGCAGCGTAACTGGCTTGAAGAAGACCTTTGAACGTACGTGTCTTCACTATAGAGGCTATGACGGTCTACCCATTGATACGAGTAGAAACAAAGGCGGCAGGATAATGATTGGAGCCATTGGGGTACCAAAAACTTTTCCTCATCCTTGCGAGGACACCAAGTTGCCAGAACGTTTCGTAATCATTTAGCGATACTCGTAGGCAATCTGAAGTAGCACGCTATTCATCGGACATTTAACTCGACCGGCCACCACCGTATCACATTTCAATCATTCGCTGAGAGCTGATGCTTTGCAAGATGAAAAAATTTAGGTACGAAAGCGAATAAACACAACAAATAAATTAACGGATTTAGCGACAGATAGCCGCATGCAGGTGGTCGTGATGGTAATGACGATGACGAACACGAGAGGCTACTTCATTCCACGTGCGCACACATTGAAATATAGGATGAAAGCAACGATGGTAGAGAGCGCGAAAGCAAGAGAGACAAAGAGAGAGAGAGAGAGAGAGAGAGAGAGAGAGAGAGAGAGATGAGATGAGATGAGATAAGCGAACACGATAAAGTGATCAGTGAGGAGTTATCGAACGGACAAGAGAAATTTAAAAAAAAATACAATAGAAATAGAACACACGAATAAACAGCAGCAACAGGAGGAAATATCGAAGAACGTCCCGTACGACACCAACAATTACATTGACCACGGCGCCAGCGGCAATGAACGCGCGGCGACTCAATCGTCGATCATGCTATTCAGTTAAAGAGGTGGGCTTTTTTTTTGGAATTTTAATGACACCATAGAACAATTAGGACGAAACAAATGAACAAAGACAGTAGAAAAACCGATGCGGTTAAGCGAAAATCATAGCGGACGCCGGCCAGTATCTCCATTATATACATACGTAATATGAATGGTATATTGTAAGAATAACAGTTATACTTCTTATTCATATAAAAGGAGAACCGGCGCAATTTGAGAGTAATAATAATAATAGTACCAATGATAGTAATGCCCGTGCCGTGCCAATCTGCTGCAAATAAGACTAGCAAAAGAAAAAAGAAGAAAAAGCTGCCAACAGTTTGAAATGTAAACGACGTCGATAGTACGTAAGCAAAATGACGCGAATAAGAGAAACTCATAATGGTAACATGAAGCACGAAAAATGGTATGATGGATAATATAAATAATGAAATATATATATATATATTTCGCTTTAATGGGACCGCAAACAGGCCGACAGTTTGACGGATCGAGGGTAGGCGGTTATGGTAACGACGGGGTGACCGTCATTCAGATGTTACGAGTGCCACTGTAGGCGATACGGATTATCGTAAGGGACGTGAGAGATCTAACCGGTAAAATTCAATGTAAAACAGGCAGGGACAGAATGAGAGAAGAACGAAACGAAAGAGAATAACAAATCGAAGAAAGAGCCAGTCGTTACGAAAGACAGTAAAATAATCGAATACAAAACAGCTCGATTGCAACAACAGAAAATGATATGGAAGACGACGATGACGCTAATGACGATTTCTATATAATTGAAAGTCTTACTATAACAAATATATGTACCACTAATAAATCAGTTATCTGCTAAGATGTTCGCGTGCTTTGTTGGTCGTAATTAAACAAAAATATTCACTTAATAAAAAGGACCACGTGTGAATGGCTAAGGCTAATTAAAGAGACAAGCTTTTTGCAAAGACATTCTAAAATATATTTTGTATTCTTAAGAAATGAAAGATTTGTGCTGATCGAAAGTCGAGTCTATTTTCTCTACGTTCTATATATACTTTCCTATATTTATTAATTTACGTTATTCAACGTGACATGAGATTTTTATCACAAAGAGTATGTGAAATTTCTTGAGTCTGGTTGTCGCCAGATCTAAGCAAATTAAGGATAGCAAATTTGCTAAAGTACCTAACGCATTAATGCTTTTTTATAATTTTCTGAAGTTTTTTGATTAAGTTAAAGATAATCATTATCATTGCTTTGGACCAATAGTATATTTTGACACCCATTTTATTTACTCGTTAGTAGCATCAAAATAGTCCCTTCTTATTTACAGTTATCAATCATTCGCCAGGTGGTTACCGTACAGGCAGAGTGCAAACTTAATATTTTGTTTCATGTGATAGCTATAACCACAGGGAAAGTTCATATGATTTTTATTTAAACAGTGCAAGTATTGATAGAATATAAACCGAGGGAATGCGACGTAATATGTTGCTTTTGGCTGATTCTTCCACACCTTTGCGAATAATCTTCGTCAACATGACAGGTGCATAATCTCGATAGGACAATATTTGCAAGTAGTAGCTGTCCGACATGCTGCCGACTTGCTGCAAAAGCAAGTGGATTGTCAAAACAGAACAAAATGAGTAGATTATTTTTTAGCTCGAAGTTTTTTTGGAATGTCTTCAATTCCCAGATCCTTCACTGTCCATAATCGTTCAGCCCTCTCCTTGGGGGTACCACCGCACTTCACGCCGCGCCTACTCAGCTCAGTTTTCAACTCATCCGCGGAAAATTTCTCAGTAAGTTCATCGATGGAGGAAACACCAGATAAATTTAACGGGCATCGATCAGCTGAGGGCACCTCAGTCTTCTCTTCTGTTGTAGAATGTGGTCGTTTCGGTGGTTCTGTAGCCTGTTCGTCAGTACATGAAGTCATGCCTGCCGAATCAGCTGAACTACCAATGTTAACGACTTGTCCCTCATTGGCAACAGCAATGTTTTCTATAAGGACTTCCTCCACTGATTCGTCGCACTCAAGATTTGGGCTGCTTGGTCTCTCAGAGTCGTCGATAGGAATCTGCGTAGAATATGGATCATACTTTTTACTCTTGCGTTTCGACGAAGCCTTTCCTTTGTCAGTAATTTCCTCGTCGCTTGCGGATCTATCGGAGGCATTCTCGGTCATTTGCATTTCAAATTCGAGTTCATCCAGCCATGTTCCTTTCATGTTCTTGGGCGGTACATACCGCGGCTTCTTTCGTGATGGTCCGGGTTCCTACAGACATAAGCACAATTCGACGTATTTGTTAACTGTACGCAGTAAATTCTAAATTAATTTGGACCAAGAGGAATAGATCAATGATGATCAAAAACGCATACGATACAATATGCATCCAAAAGGTATACTCAGGTGGTATTTATTGAAAGGAAAGTATGTTAGTTCCCTTATGTTTGTACAAGCCCTCAATTGTGAATGTTTTCTTACAAAAACAATGATTTAATGCGTGAACTTCATATTTAACTGGAGAATACTTTCTCGGCAACGAAACCGTGGTTATATTTAAAAATGTTGCGATGATATAAACAAATGAAAATATCCAGAAAGTTAAATTTCCTTAGACAAATATGTACAAAAATCACATAGCAAGTGCACTAGCGCTAACTATTCATGATAAACACGATATTGTTATGATTGTAATAAACGCTAATGCCTGACAAAAATATCCGATTATTTAGAGTCAAAATTGTAAAAAAAACAGAGACACTTAATAATCAGTACTACCATATTGTCATAGTACTACTAATGATCCCGCCCTAACAAGGCAGGCTTTTTACCTGATAAAGTGCATCTTCAAGAGCCTTTTCGACACGATCTGGAATCTGACTGCGTTCGTTAATATACTCCTGGTCGTCGAATTCGTGCCGTGGTACTGAGGTTGCAAGGGTCTCCAGCTTTTTACGCCGTCTTTCCTCCCTTTCCTGTTCCCTTTGTGCTTTTAGGCGTGCATAATGGCGACCTCTTCGCTCGTCATTGATGGCCCGGAGTCTCCTACCCGTGAGATCCCTGCAAGCTTCGCGATTTGTGGTCTTTTCAATCTGAGCTCCGATCGCTCGTAACATCGAACCGAAGCCGCCTTTACCGCCTCGAAGGCGATACACAATATCAATTGTATCCTCCGGGCGCAGCTCATCATGCGGAAATAAATGGTACCCATTCTTATGGAGGTAGAAGTCACCTTTGAAGCTTCTAAAGATGGCATTGCAACGCGAGTCTGCAAGTGTAATGCAAGTTAAGACTTCCCTATTGCAAAAAAAAAGTACACTACCTTTTTTGTACATAATTACAGTAGTTGCTAAAATTTTCGCTATTTTGAGTATCCCAGCATTCTAATAATGCGCGTATTACATATCGTAACTTATAGCAATGATCAACAATTAGCATACTGTCGTAAAATATTACATGAAATTAGCTCAATAAAAGAACTATACTATTATTTATTATAGGTAACAAATGAAAAGCTGTTATTGATTAATAAGTTCCGTTCTCTTAAGTCGGCCCAACTATTGTTGCAGTTTGATTAATCAACTATTTAGTACTAAACCGGATAAATAACTTATGGCTATTTTTATTCGAATGTATCTGACCTGTTGGAAGACAAATCGTAATAAGTTCTTTCGAATTCGGCAACCGAATGTACACGTCCATTCCGACCGATAGTAGAGTATAGATTACTCCGAGATAACTTAGTTGCACAGGCGGAATTCGGCCTTCTTAGATGTATCTATTTTTCGCTTTTGGCACGCCGAGTCGTTACCGAAAATTGCTTCTACACCATAAAACTCATATCGTAGCGTCTAAATGTTTTGTTTCTGTCGGCTAGCACTGATGTTTATGTTTACCCCGCACTTCTAGCAGACGACCCAGCTTAGTAAAGAGTGTGTTTCATAGTTACAGGGACATATTTTTCCATATCGAATAGAAGTGAATACGGTTGATGTAATTGAGATGTTTTATTTGTCTATTGACTGTTACACGTCATTTGGTAAAAAACGAACATTTTTAACATCGAGATTATGTCGTGATGTTTCAGCCACTAGGCCGGTTCCGGTGGTGTTAACACAGGACGTTCGACCCGACGTTCGAACATGCTCGTCTACGCTCTGAGAAGTGCGCTCCGTCACAGATTTGGAGAAGTTTATATTGCTGCACAAAAAACTTTTGCGGGCGATTGCCACTATCGTAGTGATCAGATAACTGTCAATCGTAGCGCCGATTTTCAAAAAAAATATGTTTATCATGTTCAAAACGGATACGGTTCTAGTCAAACATGGCAAGTGTCATTTTGTAAAAATGTTTACTAATTCTACTGAGAGTACTTAGTTTTTTTTACTATTATCTTTTTTTATCATATAGTCGTCATTTATTCAACGTATTTTTTTACGTAGCATACTTTACGTCTTTCAAGTTATGGGCTTTATAAACTTTTTTTTATTCTGTTTCCCTATTTCAGTTAAAAGCCTAGTACACAGTATATATACATATATATATATATATATATGTGTGCAAAAGGCCGTTAATTGAAACAGGGTTAATTGAAACCTGTACAAAAGGGACATTTTAAACCTGAAAAGTGTATAATAAGTAATAATGTTATGTTTTAATCATCTACGAGAAAGTGATCTGTTGCTAAATTGAAGGGGTCGCTACTTTCGAAAGCGCTAACGCGCACGTATGAATAGAACATATTAATAAACCAAGATTTTAGTATCGCCATAAAGTCCCGTCACTTTATTTTTTAGTTACCATTAATGGATTCTTTTTTTAAATGAAATAAGTAAGTAATTTTCAGTAACGTCATAAAAGCACGCTGCCTGAATCCTTGTCTCACTCTCGTGTATATCTAATTAACAAACATCTCTGGATAAAATAAAAGTTCATCTCTCACATTTTGGATATTTTCTTAACATGCCAATTCTTGGCGCTTCCGCTAATGTTAATTAATGTAACTGTAATTAACCTAAACACTCTTCGCGATGCGACATATATAGAAATAATAAACATTACGGTCATAACCTCAGACCCATTGTTAAGTATATATATATATATATTATTAACGTTAAAATCCTTTTGAAATCAATTGCAACCAATGTGGCTGATGGGCTATCCTGCAGATCTTTTGATTGGCTGTATATTGGCTTTTTATGTTGCAGGCAATTTATCGCGACACCACCGCTACGTTTGGGAGGAATCTTGGCATTTCTTGGCTTAGAATCGAAGGACAAAGATGAGGAAGATTCAGTTGTTACCACGATCAAACGTGGGATTCTTGCTTTTCAGCGTAAGGACTACAAGAAAGCTGAGCGTATGCTTCATTTGGCGCTGAAAATGAGTCAGGAACGAATGGATACTCAGGCGGAAACGTATTGTTTCGATCTTCTGGCTGACATAGCTCTGGCGCACGGTGATCTCGACAAGGCTGAAAAACTTTATGTTGAGGTTATGCGACGGTTGATCATATCGGGAACAGCTAAAGACGATAACGCCATTATTGAGATTTCAGCTAAGCTTGCTAATGTCTTTAGCAAACGCCATGATGATAAAAAAGCGGAACAAGGTTACCAGTTTTGCATCGATACGCAGGAAAAGAAATTAGGCGAGCTTATTAAAAACTTCAATAACGTGTCGTTTACCCCTGAAGAAAAGAATTCGGTTGCCCTCTGGGGCATGTGCATGGACTGGTACTCAAAACACCTCATCTCTCGAGGAAAATATGCATATGCACGAAGTTTACTTTCGCAGTCCCTTGAGGTTTCACGAAAGATATTCGGCGAGAGTCACGAACAGACCCTAGTGGTTAAGAATGATCTTGCTCTTGTTAATACCATGCTCAAGGACTACAAAGAGAGCATTCGAATTCTTGAAGAAATTATCGGTCTTGACAGCGTAGAGCAATCCGAAGATTTGCCAGCGTTTTTATGTAATTTGGGAGAAAACTATATAAAAAATGGAGATTTCGACAAAGCGCAAGAGTGCTGTGAGCGTGCCAAGGAACTTGCGAAGAAACAGAACAATGAGATGGCAATTGAGGTAGCTGAGTCCTGTCTGGGAGAGATACAGCAGAAACGCAAAGAGTCCTCCAGAGACAAAAATGCGACTAGCAATGGTCGGAAGTAAAAACATATAATGACAACGACAACTGCAGGCTGTGAAGCTAAATGTTAGCCACAGTCGAGTTCTAGGTTAAATTTGATGGCCTAAGGTAAAACGGTAATGATTTTGAAAGCTTATTGAGTAAAAGATATATATACTATAAATGTTACAGTCGGTACTCTAAGTACATTAAGCAATGAATTGGCGTTTTATTTTCAATTTCTAGTATGAATATACTTTTTCAAAACATTATACCTCGTATTTCTAGAGCTATAATTAATTAAAGCTTTCATGAAGAAAATTAAAAGCTCTAGATTCTGCTTCAGTTTTATACATGTTTTATGAGCTTGTAAGATCCACCGTGTTAGTGGATTTCTGTAAACGGACAACAATGAGAATTTCTAAATAAATATTTTTTTCTTTTTAGTTTTCAGCATTATTAATCGTTCAATAATCATTCATCGTATATGGACAAGTCCTTGGGACCATAACTTTCTGCTATAGCATTAAGGACTTTCCTCAATTAGGACTCTAACTGAAGTGGGTCTTCCTGAACTTTTTCTAACAGATTTGTAAAATAGCATAAAAACCATAAAAGCAACCTGTTAGTCTTAATAATACCCTATTTTTCTTAGTTTTTTATTTTCCTGATTATTGATATATAGCAATGATATTTGTCAATAGTGAGATTTGGACCACAGTGGCATGCCTGATAGTCGTGATTACCATAATAATATACTTGAAGAGATACGCATTAGCCGCCCAGACCGCTGTGCTTTCATGGGTGAACATTTATAATTAAATCAAGTAGTTATAAAAGTAAAACTCATCAGTATTACCATGCATGAGTTTATGTCAGACCGTTAACAAAATAGTCTGGCTTCTTGAAATTATACAGCTGAAAATTTCGTCAGGATGCTAAAAAAGTGCCATACTGTGCATTGTCTTCGACGAATTAAGGTTAAGCTGTTCAGCTATCTTCTACCATTTAAGGGAAAAAAATTTCCTCATAGTATGGGGAAATATCTAAGAGCCGTGTATATTCTAACCCTGATATGCAATCGACCGACCTTAGTCAAAATAACAAAGTGGTTCTATTATTAATAATAATATTATAGCGGTTTTTGGAGGCTTGAGTTTAATATAATGAGGGCGATATTGATTTATGTTCTAAATAGGTGCGTTTTGCATTCTCTTAATAGTAGCCTTACCGAAACTGCTTTCTTCTTCAGAACTATCGTTCCAAAAAAAACACTGATTTGATGGGTTACTATAGAATGGACGATTTAAACTCGTATTCTCAGAGATGAAACCTGCCTTCAAGATTTTATGATGACACAAATCTTTACTTTTATCGGAAAATTCGAAAATTTACGTACTCTGCATAACCGTTTTGATAATATATATATTTTTTTAATAACTGGGAATTTACGGAACAAACAGATATGTAAGTAGTACATTATTTTTCTTTGGGGAATTACGACATTAATACAGGTTCTCAGACAGTTTCGCAGTGCCGAACTGTGAGCGCTCTAGCTGGTCGGGCTTAGAACCTCTCTGTAGGGTAAAGCTTATCCTAATTCTGTCCTCAAGTAGCTGGACGAACAGCACAACTGTTTAGCCGTATTTGGCGATGGTGGTAAACCGGCTCGAAACTACGCGGGACGTTCTCATGGTGAAGAGAGATTCGCAAGCTCGCTTCTTCAGCGAGACTTCGAAGTATACCTGCTTTAAAGCTTTGCAGAAGCCATTGAACTCTGTTCTTTAAGTTATTTTCTTCGAATGATTATCCTCGGATTAATACCAGATGAGACACAAAAAGCTCCTTTGCAATCGCGAATCAACTATATGTAAGTTAGGGCAACATCAGCAGAGACGTCAATGCGATGCAGCCGAAAGGCAATTGAAACACGAATCAAAATCGGCTTGAGATTAGGGCCGGCTAGCAAATAGGCGCTGGCCAAAATCTGATAGGACATCGGCAAATGAACAGTCTAAAATAGAAAAATATCATTTATCATTCTTGACTACGGTAAAGCTGCTTACAAAGTTTAGTAAGGTACTAACTTTCCCGTCTGTTCTCTTCAAGAAAAGCCACTGTTGCCATGAGAGCATATTGCTATAATGGTGTAGTAAACTACGACACTTAAATACTAGAAAATGGTATGGTACTTTGCGACTGGATTGGACACTGTTTATATTTGGCCGTCATCTGGCAACAGCGGTGAGCAGTGCTGTCTCCGTTTCTTCATAACCCATAAACATAACCCATTGTTACCATAAACTCAGTCTTTAGCAATCAGGTGATCGATTTTGATCATTTCCCGCTCCAAGAGTGCGAATATATGTAATACTGATAAGAGCCCATAAGTACTACTGGGATGAAGTCTGGAGCGACTTTGCCGAAAAAGTGCTATCAGCCATTGGATATAGTGCTTAAGGAACGTAATGCTTGCTTAACGGCAGTATTGGAAATAAGACCTGAAACATTTAAACCAAACATTAGATGATAGATATAGATTAGATGGATAGATTAGATAGATAGATTAGATAGATAGATGCTACCAAAGTCGAAAAAGATACGAATGTCTCGTAAAATAGGTGGGATTTGAGGACAGCCTGAGTCGAGCCAATGGGTGTAGTAAATTTAAGTCATTCCAGTAACCGTGGCTCCAGCTCTATTTGTTCGAATAATCAAGCCGCCATCTTACTACAGTTCCGACGGCAAGCCCTGGTCGACAATGCTCTCCGAGACATTATTTTGTATGTTACTCAATTTCGGCGTATGAATTAACAGTACAAATGCAAGCCGTAGGTACAAGCTCAATAAATTTGTCTTTGTCTAGTTCCTGCCCGCCTCGGTTAGCTCACTTGTGGTACTTGGTTCGTAAAACGAACGAGAGTGCCATCATTGAAAACTAGCGCGAAAAATTATAACATTGTCTTGTGTAATCACAACATAATTGAAATATCGACGTATTTGAATAAGCTTCTGTATGTAATTGATGAATAAACTCAATTTCCTTTTTGACAGAAGTTATTTCAAAGAGCCAGAGAGAAAGGATCTTGTTCAATTTATTATATATTATGTGCTCAAGAAGCGGTGCATAGCGATGGTAGATCTTACATTTGCTATTTAAATTGAACCATAGTTTAAATATCAATTTTTCCCTTTTCTATCATTTTATATTACGCTTCACATGCTCTTTCGTGTGCACAAAAATTAAGCGTATAGAGAGTTAAGTGCGTAAAACACGTGAAACTTAATTGAAACATTACATATTTATGCGGTGAATCAATATTTTGAGTGGTTTTCAAATGTCAAGAGTTTTTTTCTAAACTTGGCAGATATTATTATTAGTACGGTTGTTAATTAAAACATTTACTGTTTTGTGTCAACGATGTATACTGTTATTTTTTTGTCGCCACCCGATAACGTCAACCTTGCGAGCAGCATTTGGTAGAGCTGCATGTGCATGGGCCGTTCCGTCTTTTCTAGCAAGGAAAAAGCAATATTTCAGACGTTGAGCGTTTTTGCAATTTCAGTTGCTGGATTTACAAATCTCAAATAATAGGGCCATTCACATGATGCAAACAATTCCTTAGTTTCGCTAGACAGGACCCAATTATTTGGAGTTTAAGTAAACCTGTATGATTGATATCATCATTTCTCATTAAGTGGGCAGATAAAAAAGTTGTATTTGAGTTTGACCCTTGCCCTAGCTGGCTTGGCGCGATGGTATGAAGCATCGGTGAGATGCTTTATAGTGATTCCCATATCCTCACCTCTGACAAATAACCACACCTTGTGGGGCTTACTCAGATACTTTCGATTTTCTTCGAAAAATAACTGGATCACTGTAAGCCCCTTAGGCCACGGGACGGAAGAGTACTTGACGAATATATTGCTGTAGTTTTTCTCCCTTTTGCGGCAATGATTATTGAAGTGAATGCTGGCCTATCTAGTCTTACCATTTCTATTCTAATTTTAGTCAGAAGGTAGTAAACAGTCGATAAATAATAAGAAGTACGTTTGCTAATTAGTAATCACTGCTTCTAGTACACATCAATGAAATATTTATATTGCGGAAAAACACTACCCTACAATATTGTTTACTACACAAACAATGGGTCAACGTATGGAAACATCTTTCAGTCCTAATGAACAGTGAAAGAAACATAACGGCTGGCGTAAAGTAGGAGAAATGTTCTTTTTTTGACTCCGTATTCCGCCCATAACGGCACATATACTACAGTACTTCCGCTTCGCGTTAGAACATCTCAGATTCGATCGTGATCCGCTTACATTGGGACCAATGATGTCCACGATATTGTTATCGTTCCTCGTTTCAGTGCCTGTTTCTCTCGTGTAACCTATTACATTTATCCGCTGATTTATCTTCGCCGGGCAACGATTCTGCAAGCAATTTATTTATATTACTGACAATGGTTATTGGCGGAATGACGTTCAAGGAGCCTGTTTTTCGATTCCCCACATGCACTAAATCATTCAGCTGGGTAATTACAATTGACTAAATAGCAAGGCGTTCGTGCCAGTCTTTGGTGCAATCGAATACACCTTAATTTTTAAATGGCATCCATAGAATTTGGCAGTTCTTTGTTTTTAAAAAAACATAAATATTAAGTAAACTTTATTGAAAAAAAAATTCTGTTTTTCATCTTGTTTTGCTTGAGCCCAATTGTATTACACCTGCCTGCATGCTTTAACCGTGGGACTTTCGTTGTAAGCGAATCGATGAATTTTTACTTATCTATCTAAAAAAACAATGTATATCTAAATGTGTATGAATTGTATCCAACTTCAGCTCCCTTTTAGACAAAATCGTATTTCCATACGGATCGTATTCTTTATCGATTCCAACTTCGAATTTTAGAATGTCACGTCCGTAGATCCAATACAAGCAAGCTATCTGAATCTCTAGCAGTGGATTATACATCGCGATACTGCCATTTACTTAGATATTGAATCAGGCTACCCAGCAATTACACTTTTAAGCAACCAAGAGCACGATAAGGCTGCCGTAACAATTCTTCAGTGCTACAGGGGGACTGGAGTTGTGAACTGGGCGTGAAACTTGAGTTTGTTTAGTGAGTAACCTTTGGAAAACTGCGAGATCAGCACCCTTGACTCATTTCTTAACTCCGCTTAGAATCAGTTCGTATACTGTGCTAATGGTGTAAAGGAGGATCGGCACTTGTTGATGCGAGCGTTCCCAGCAAACTGCGCGCTATACGTTATGGGGGCACCGTCCAGCTATACTAGCTTACTAAATTTCGCAGTCGATTTCCTACGATATTGCTTTTCCGGTGTACAATATTATCTATTATAAATGGTCCACTCTTAAGATCCTCTCGGAAGAGTATCATTTTACTAGGTCTACTTTTGACATGAGATAAATGTTCGT